GGATTGTTGTGTTTGTCAGAAATCTCGTCACCTCCTGTGACTGACACTTGGATCCTGTGATTGACAGAGCCATGTGGCAGGCAGGGTAATAGTGCCTTTGAAAAGGACCTGGAGTGATCAGTCTGCCCCCACCCCCGCCCCACATGTGGTTGCCTAGAGAACGCATGTGGTGGGATCACCGCTTTCATATGTGTACCTTGTGCTGGTGACAGAGTAATTCAAGGGCACTGTCGTGTCTGTCAGAACACCCACTTCTCCGTTTGAAATAGAGCCACCAGATGGGGAAAACACGGGCAGCATCATGGCTGACACACGTGTAAAGTGGAAGGTAGCTATGGGAACATGGACGTGGCAGACACCAGGCACTGAAGGCATCAACGCCACCATGGTTCCAGACAGCCCTCGGCCAGGCCAAAGCCTTCCCTGACATGCTTCTGCCCTGACTGTTTCCCCATCCTGCAGGCAGAGCCCCTCCCTCATGAGCATAGCCCTTAGAGGAAGATGTCCATTGCCGAGGTTCAGCTGCGGTTTGGTCTGCAGGAGTGCGTGCATGCGTGTGTGCGTGCGTGCGTGCGTCTGTGCGTGCGTCTGTAGACAGGCGCTGCTTTCACCAGAGTGTCTAAAGCTAGATGTTTCTAGTGCCCCACATTTTCCTCACGTCATCAGGAAGGTGAGATGTTGGCTTCTGATTATTTGCAGCAAAAAATAGAACTTAGAACTCTTACAAAACTAATTTCCCCTATTTGGACTTAAATCATTGATTAATATTTATTAGAATACAAGCTGAATTATATTTAGGCACCATTTTGATCAAATTCAGAGTAGTAGGCAAATGTTAGAAAAGGTTTCTAAATAAGGAAAATACATCTGAAAATTCTATATTTGATACGTTTAAAAGCAATTAATTTTTCCTTTGGCCAACCTCTTATTCCCTTTCCCTGGCCTTACGCTAAATTTTATGAGGATCTGTCTTTTCCCACTGTCTCTTTCATTCTCTGTGCTGTTTGTTAAGTAACTGATGTGTTTATTCATTCAGAAAGCACAAGGACAGCAAACTCATTGATGCCCTTCTAAGAGTAGAGGGCAAGATGTTCCTTCCGAGCTCCACAGACAGAGGCACAGGCAGGGCAGGCTCCTGGTAGGCTCCCTGCCAAGTGTGTGTGTGTGTGTGTGTGTGTGTGTGTGTGTGTGTGTGTGTGTGTGTGTGTGTGTGTGTGTGTGTGTGGCATGGGGAAGGGAGTGGGTGTTCATGAAGCCAGGATTAACACTTGGAGGGCAAGCTGTGATCTTAGAAATGACTGGTACCATTTCCCAGAAACGCTGCCAGACTGTGGTGGCTGAACAGGGGTCTGTTGGGCCTCAGCAGTGCGCAGCAGACCATACAGAGGCTCCTGTGCATCACTGATTCACTCCAGCCACAGTGCTTTCGACAGTAGGCCCTGCTCCCTGAGCCCTGGTTCTGGAGCGGGAAACCGATGATTGTATTCTCCCCTCTCATGGGACTTCTTAATATTTATGGTTGTGAAATACTTTGCAGTCGTTTTTATTAATAGTTACCAGATGTGTCAGAAGGATTAATGAACTTACGATCTGAAATGTTTGGAGCTCTTGAAATAGAGGCAGTGTCTGTGCAGGGAATATGGAAAAGAGCATTAAAATGCAAACAGTTGAGTTGGAGGGTGAAGCTACTGTGTGTGAAGAAGCAGTGGCTCACATAAGGTCCAGTGTAGTTTGTAGATGTATCTGGTACCCTTACAGTGACCGCTGAATTCATCAGGCCATTGTTAAACACGGAGGCTCAGCCCTGCCCAGCATGCCTGCATGTGTGGATGCACACAGCTTGTGGGATACTCTGTCTGCCTGTTTCCTTCCAGCCTAGGTGCTGTTTTTAACTTTTCCAGCCTCCAGACATTCATCTCCCCCTGTGCCTGAATGCCATTTCTGTGTCTTTCTCTTCTTGCCCAAGTTCAGGCCCTGGAACTTGGCTCTCTGGAACCACTGAAATGATGTCTTAATTGATCTCCTGACATCTAGTGTCTTCTCTTTCTAGTCAATCTCCTGAAGCATCCTCCTCACCGGGGCCATGTTCAGAACCAGCAGCAGCTGTTTGTAGACTCATAAGGCTCCCCCTACAGCACCGACCCTCTTCCTCTGTTGGGGCTACTCAAGACCCAGGAGTAGTTTTTTCTAGGGCGCTATGAATAGGTGGTGCCTTACACCCAGTCCCTTCTCTGCTGCCTGCCATGCTGCTCAGGCTGGCCCCGCCCGGTCACTCTGGATCTGTCAGCCGTCCCCTCTCTTCTGTGTCCCCTCTGCCTTAGAACCTTCCATTCCAGTATTCGTTCCACACACTGATATTAGTTACTTGCTTACACGACCAGATTGCCACTCCCCAGTGAGAAAATACGTGCGGACATTGAGACCTTGGATGTTTCATGTCGGAACCAGGGTTGGTCTGTTTGCACCCTCAGTTCATTCCTGCTGCTGTTTTGTTGGGGAGCCACTGGAGTTTACAGTTGAGTCATGAGAAGGAGTGTGAGCATGCTTCCATGCTCATCATCACGTCAGCAAACGTCCATGCTTGGTGGCCACCACTCCATCCTGCTAGGCTTCTACGTTCTCATGCCCTAATGGTGGCAGTTTGCACTCAAGTATTTTCAGTCAGACCCAACTGAAGAATGAAACTTGCAGTCTGAGCATGAGAAATAAACCTTGTACTGCCTTGATTAAGAAATATACCCTAGGGGCTGAAGAGATGGCCCAACGGTTAAGAGCACTGGCTGCTCTTCCAGAGGACCCGGGTTCAATTCCCAGCACCTACATGGCAGCTCACAACTGTCTGTAATTCTAGTTCCAGGGGATTTGACACCTTCACACCAACGCATATAAAATAAAGTTTAAAAAATAGAAGAAAAAATGAAATATACCCTGAAAACTTGCCTGTTTGGGGTACTTTGGATCTGTGGGGATAAGAATAGAGGCAGCATCAGGTCCCTTGGAGTGCAGGTACATACAGAGGATGGCTCCATTTTCAGGGTGTCAGCTGGCCTGAGTGTGGTCAGAGGGCTGGGTGTGGCGGGAGGTGGTGCTGGACCTAGAACATTTTTGTGGTCAAGGCATGGAGGAGGTGGTTCTTTGAACTGCACGGCGGTGGCCCGACAGGACCCCCTCCCTGTCTACTCTCTCAGCCACACGTGCTCCTAGCTCCCCTGGCTTTTACCCCTAGTTTGCAGGGTGAGTGTCTAGTCCTCTGCCTTCTCTGGTCCTTGTGTCCCTTTCTGTGTTCTCTTCAGCACCTTCTGAGCCATCCCGTCCGTCACTTTCAGTGGAGTGGGTCTATGGCGGTACTTGTTTTCCAAAAGCAGCCCCGTGACCCATGTGGCTGTGGTGTTACCCCTGCTAAAATATGTGTGTACGTTATTTGCAGTGGAGGGAAGGTGAGCAGTCATGCTTAGGCCTGAAGGCCCTGTCTAAACAGTCAAAACTGCAATCCTGAGAACCAGAACGAACTGAATGGAGGCTTGCTTAGTTCACGTTTCCGCTGCCTGAGCAACTGGCCATAATCTCTGGCTCTTCCTCCCTGGGGCCCTTTGGTAAATACTTCAACCTGTCTAGGTCAGAATGGTGATATGGGGGTCAGTGTAGAGCTGTGGCCAGCATTCATTCCCTCCAGCTGGACGGGGAAAGGGAAGCCCAGGCTGCGTCTGCTCTGCCTGGTGTCAGTCTCTAGTGTGGAGAGCAGAGGGAGGGAAGGGGACACCTGAAGCCAGAATTGGAAGAGCTGGAGGCAGAAATGGTGGGCTCCTGGTTTCTTCCAGAGACCTTCCCAGCGCTGTCTGCCTCTGTGTCCCACCACTGCTGAACTCACCGTAAGATGACCTTGGCTTCCGCTTCCTCCTTCTGACTTCACGCTCTTACCCAGATCCTCAGCTTTCCTCTAAGGCTCCTTGAATCACGTGTCTGTAAGTCAAGAAGTCTTCTGCTGCGATGTTCCCCTCCTCTGGGCTCTTCTCCCCTCCCCTGCTCTGGAGTTGGCATGTTCTCACTGCTGTGTCTGCTTGCCTTCGGCCGGGTCTGCCGTCGGTCTGCACTGCACTGGCCTGGTCTGCCGTCAGTCTGCACTGCACCGCACTGGCCAGGTCTGCTGTCGGCCTGCACCGCACTGGCCGGGTCTGCTGTCGGTCTGCACTGCACCACACTGGCCAGGTCTGCCGTCGGTCTGCACTGCACTGGCCGTGTCTGCCACACTGGCCGGGTCTGCCACACTGGCCGGGTCTGCCGTCGGCCTGCACTGCACTGGCCGGGTCTGCCGTCGGTCTGCACTGCACTGGCTGGGTCTGCCATCTGTCTGCACTGCACTGGCCGGGTCTGCCGTCGGTCTGCACTGCACTGGCCGGGTCTGCCGTCGGTCTGCACTGCACTGGCCAGGTCTGCCGTCTGTCTGCACTGCACTGGCTGGGTCTGCCGTCGGCCTGCATCGCACTGGCAGTGAGGCTTTCTGACTCTTGGCTGCCTTCTGCTTGCTCTGCTCAGGAGTCAAGTGACTTCCTCTCTCCCCAGCTCAGTAGTTCGGGATGCCCAAGGCTGCCCATATGTCCTTGTCTGCTTGGTGCTCCAGCCAGAGAAACCTCCTTCCGTCTCAGTCCTGCGACACGTTGCGTGCTCTGAGCGCTTCCTGACCACCCAGGCTCAGGTCATCTCGCAGCTCCTGCCCCCTATCCCAGTTACGTCATGTAAAGACTTGCACTCACAGTCGACCCTTGATCAGCACGTGTCCGTGATCGTAGAGAAGCATGACACCTGGGTGTTGTCCCCGGCTGGGGCGAGCTTTTACTAGGCTCCTTTCTCTTGTGGTATGGAACCCCTGTACCCACAAGCCTAACTGTAGGAGCGTGTTGGAGTTCCTGAGTGTTGTGATGGTCTCCTAGTGGCTCCTGGCAGCTTTCTGCTCTGTGCCCCTGTGCTTTGTGGGTCCCTCACTCATGCACTTGTCTCCTCAGCCCGTGCCCCGAATCTTGGTGCAGCCTACCTTCTCAGATGCCCGGGCAACAAGGACAGAGGAGGTGAGTCACCAGGTTGGGGCTGTCCCACTTGCAGAGGAGGCCCTGACACTAGCTGGGGTCCTTTCGTCCACACCCACCTTCTCCACTTTGCTTCCCACTTTGATAATTAACTACAATGTAGGTCACTGTCTTCTCCCTGCACAGGCTCCTTGTTACACTCTGCTATTTTCAACCTGCTAATCATATGATTGCTAAAGTCTTTGGTGCTTGACTGCTAATGTAGTCTGTGCTTTAATAGCTCACTGCTAGGCAGAGGGGATTTCTATAAACAGAACCATCTCCTCCTTGTGAGCGTCTGCTTAATTCTCAGTTTTACATTTCATTCTGGTTCATGATATCAGCGTGAAAAGATCAATGCTAAGCTGGGAGAAAACCATCTCTCATGATCTCCCACAGCTCAACAGCACTCATCATCTCGTGAACAGTAGACCTCCCTTGTCCCACCATGCCTCCAGTCTCTGGAGATGCCGTATCTTCACAGGAAAAGTTTATTCATTCAGACAACAGCAAACAGGGCCCGATGATTTGAAGGACAATTTCCCCTTTGGGTAGCACCCCATCTCGAAAATGCCCTTTGACTCCAGTGCCTTCCTGGTGTCCTAGCATCCCCAAGGTGTCCCCTCCCCTGGGAGCATGGTCGTATGTCGTGTGGAGGCAGTTTTGAACAGGAGCAGGACTCTCACTGGCAAGACCACTGGTGTGCCAGCTCCTGCTGTTGATCCTGTGGCCTCACAACCTTTGGATAGTCCAGAGGCAACAGTAAGTTTTCAAGTGACAGGTCAACTCCAGCCATGAGGAAGTACTTGCAGGGTGCTGGCATGGGAGCAGGCAGAGGGTGTACCGTCTTTCCTTCCACTGTCTCTGGTCTGCGCCATCACTGTACCTGGCTTGTCCCTTCCATGGGGAACGTGGGCAAGCCCTTCAGCGTCCCTGGGCCCTGCTGTAAAAGTGTTGATAGTTCCTGCAACCGGCCTCCCACCAGTGATTCAGGTGGACACTGGAGCACCTGTCACCTGAGGCTGCCTCTGCCTCTCCTTCATGCTCCTCTATGGCCGGAGCAGCCTGGATGGAACTGGGGGTGACTGAATGTCACTGGTGGGTGAGTGTGGAAAGGACCCTCTCTCACGGCCGCAGGTCATGTCCAGCTTCTCTGTGTGTTCCACCCCCCTGCACCCAGCAATTGCTAACTAGAGTAGGAAAGAATAAATAAAGCATGTCCAAGTTGTAGAAGAAAAATGATTGAAGGATTGCCTAATCTTTCAGCATATTTATGGCGATGACAGTTATTGATCTGCTAGATTGAGTAAGTTTTCAGTGAGAGCCCCATCACAAAAATGGGCTGTTAATCTCAAGAGGTGCTGTTCACTCCCTCCCCAGAAAGTGTTCCTTGTGGGCAACGAAGGCTTCTGGAAGCAGGAATATAAATGACAATTCACGGGAAAATGCGTGATTTATCAAACTGCTGAGTTAAGCCAAGAAACTGGAAGAGACTTATAGATCTTAGCTGCTTCCCAGTTCAAATAAATCCTGTGATTCAAATGGAAAGTGACCATTCCTGTACATAAATATTGAGCTGCAGCTTTCCTGTTCTGCACAGCCCTCCACCTTGTTCCCATCCCATCCCTTCCCTGGCACTGTGGGGGCAGAACTGGGAGACAGTGCTCGACTCCCTCATGCAGCTTCAGCTATCTGAAAGAACATCTGAGCTCACTTCCCAAACACTGGGACTAGTGGGTACCCTGCCATCACTGGACATGCCAGCTCTGTGTCTGTGTCTTCTGTCTGGTAACTCAGTGATGTGAAAGGCCATTGCCACTGGCTCTGTCCTTGCTTAGTGACAACTCCTGGCCCATGTCCCAGGATTAGAGGCCCTCAGCCCTGACATGACACCAGCAGCCAGAAAAGTAAGCTCCTAGAGAAAGAGCCATGGCTCCAGGAAGCCTGGGTCTCCTCCTTGACCTTGACTTCCAGCCTGAGTCCCCCACAGAGCACTGTCTGGGGTCAGGGCCTCCTGGTGCCTGCGCTGTAAAGCACTTTCAGACCCTCTGAAGGTGAGGTCACCCTTTGGATCTGGCCAGAGAAAAGTGCTCTCTGCCCTCTTCAGTGCGGGTTTCAGTCTCCCTGTGAGACAGCTTCCCCGAGACCAGGGGAGCTGGGATGGGCACAGTGAGGCTAGTGTGTACTGCTTCATGCTGCCTGGAGCAAGGGGCCTTGCCTCGTGTCCTCCCGGCCTGTCCCCAGTGCAGGAGGAGCATCTCTGGAAGATGAGCTGCAGATACAGAGGGCTGGTGCTGCTCAGCCACTCCTGAACACAGGTACAGCCAGTGCTCACCTGGCATTGGCTACAGGGCTAAGGCAAGCTCTGGCCATGTTTGCTCCAGGTGTGTTCCTCAGCCAGGAGCGGCTCCTTCCCAGGCTTCAGCATGGAGCCGGTGGAGCCGGTGGAGCCAGCCCCACGGGCTTTGATTGGGTGGGAAGGCCTTTTCTAACTCTCCTCGGTATACCTTCTGCCCTTCTGCAGGTTCACCGAGGCAGCCCTGTGCCCAGTGGGGCTTTGGAGTCCATGGTGCCGACGGTGGGCCCCGCAGTAAAGATCTGTGACAAACCTGTCAAAGTGGCTTCCTCTCCATCTACCGTGGTGGTTACTCACGCCCCAGAAGGGCAGGATGGACCCCCCAGCCCCTTGAGCGAAGCTTCCAGTGGCTACTTCTCCCACAGCGTCTCCACTGCCACCTTATCAGAGACGTTCACTCTAGGCCTGGACACCTCAGGCCCCGGCAACCAGACACCTGGGTCCCCCTCTGCCCCGAGTCAGGTCACCCCAGAGCCTGAGCTGGCTTTCCTCTCCTGTACACAGAGCCATCCACCTGCCCCGGAGGAGCCCCAGGCACTGCCTGCCACACCTAGTCAAAGCACAGAGCTGGAGGTTCCCAGACCACCTCTTCTTTCTGAACCCACATCTGCAGTACCCACATCCCCATTCCGAATCCGGAAAGTGCGGACCTCAGAGCTTAAGTCCTTCACAGGCATGCTGGGGGGTGTCTCCTCTGGCGCTGAGGAGGACCCACTGGCTTCAGAAGAGCTCAGCAATGCTACAGTTCATGGGAGGCTGGAAGTGACATCCGACTCTGAGGAGGCCGGCGAAGTCCCTGAGTGGCTCAGAGAGGGAGAGTATGTTGTTGTGGGCACCAACAAGACGGGTATTGTGAGGTTCATTGGACCCACTGATTTCCAGGAGGGAACATGGATTGGTGTGGAGCTGGACCTGCCTTCAGGTGAGTGGGCTGTGGGTGCCCCTGATGAACACAACCCTGCTGAATGTGGACTGGCCGAAAGGGAAGGTGGGATGTGCTCAGTGAGCCTCCTGACCCTTCATAAACCAGATGCTAGCATCTAAAGTCTCAGAATCCATCCGAGAGCCAAGGTAGTCACTGCAAACTGCTGTGAACTTGGTAATAATTTTACCGGAATGACTGGGCCCAGTGACCCTCTTGTGTAGCCTCGCCAGTGCCTGGGACTACAGCCGGTGGCCACCACACACTGTGTGCTTTGTAAATTGGTAGCAGCAGCAGCAGCACCTCAGGCTGCATTCAGTGCTCTTGAGACTCCAGGGCACTGGGCCCTGAGGGTGGTGGCTTGAGGTGAGGAGAGGTGGTATTGTTGCAGGCTCTGGGGTCTCAGATCAGAAAGCAGGGGAGGCCCTAAAGAACCACTGTGCAGGTTTCTCCCCAGACATTTGCCTTTGCTGCTTTATCCTATAGGAGTAGGCTCCTGGGGGCCCAGCACTCTGGCCTCTCAGGCTCTTTGATCCCTGGTTCCAGGCGTTTTATTGGGTACTCATTTCCAACCTGGGCCACGCAGAGCATACGGTTCGGTGGTTTTGAGTGTACTTACTGAGCTGCCTACTGTCACTGGACTCCATTGTTACACACTTGTCACCTCACAGGGACGTCTCATGGCCACTGATAGCTGTGCCCTGCCCAGCCCTGAGCTACAGTTCATCTGCTTTGCGCCCCCAAGTTTATGGAGGACACTCAGCCAGAGCTAGCAGCTTGTTGCCAGGGTGGACTCTCCCCTTTAGGAGGGCGCCCTCGGAGCCCAGCACGAGGCCCCTGTGTCTCTCAGTCAGCCTGGGACCTCACAGGCTCATTCATCCCTGGCTACAGGCACAGGCCAAAATGGCGCCCTCGTCCTGAGCCGAGTGCTTCCTGTGAAGTCACTATCTTTAAAAATAATCTGACAGAGTGCCTTGATTGGAAGTGGTTCAAGATGTTAGCTGCAGCACAGGCTGGAAAAAAATTTTTAGATCTGCTTTTCGCAAAGTGCAAAGGGAGATTCAGGAAGAATTCTGTGTCTGCAGTTGAACTCGAGAATTAAAGAGAATTAGCAAGTAATTTAATTCACCAGCAGGAACGAAGCACGTGCTTTTGTTCACATCGCTGTGCTGGGTTCAAACACGTTCTGGTGGGCCACGCCCCCCACTTGACTTCTAGTTGTGCGGAGGAGAAAAATGCTAAGTGAATCAACACATTTTGACAGTTGTAAGTGCTGTGAAGGGCACATGTGCTGAGGGGTCAGCAATACCACAGCACCATGCAGCAGAGAAACAAAGGATTCCGGAAGCAGAGCGGGGAAAGCGGCTGCCACCGCGGTCAGGCAGGGCAGCATGGCAGTGCTCCTGAGTGTGGCCCAGCTTGCTCTTTGATGGCCAGCAGGAAGACGGGCTGTGAGGCCGGAGGGGCACTGGTGTCCGCACCCAAGGGCTTATGGGAGTTAGTGCACTTTGGTCAGGGCTTGCAAAGATCACCCCTTGTAGAACACACGGGAGTGATGGGAACAGGAAGTTCACTGGAGAGGTGGCAGCTGTGTGGGCTGGAGAGGATTGTGGTGAAGGTTGTGGGAACAGTGGTCAGCTCGGAGCGGCTGCAGCCAAGAACCGATGGTTGGAGGGGGACCATTAGGGAGGAGTGTCAAGGTGACAGATAGTGTGTGGCATCAGGTCATGAAGGACAGGTCTTTGAGTTGGAAAGGCAGGAGAGCTACATGCCAGGGAAGGCTCACTCTCTAGTGATTCGGAGACACAGAAATGCTAGGTGCCCTGAGGGCCACGCTGGGGGAAGTCATACCTGGACTGAGTTGTGGTGTGCTTACAGCTGGGCCTTGGTTTGCTGACACCTGATGATGTGGAGCTGGGGGGAGAGGCAGCCAGCTAAGAGAGTTGTGGCAGTGACCACAGTTGTGCAGTGACAGCTGTGTGTCAGGATGCTGGAGAAGTAGAGGCAGAGTGACCGCTGTAGCCCTGGCCTACTTCCCAGAGACGAGCGGGCAGGGTGGATGCTAAAAGATGGCCTGGTCACCATGGCCTCCAGGTGGTTCTTCCCGGCTACTCCATCTCCCTGTAATATCCCCTGTTCGCCTGTGAGAGGGAATTGTCGACACCCCAGTGTGGCATCTGCTAGCCTACTCGGGGGCATCTGCTGACACTCTGCGGTGGCTTTGCCAGCTTCCTCCTGGGTGAACCCGGTCACCTGCCCTGGGCTCACATTTGCATTCTCAGGAAAGGGACTGGTGCCCTGGAGGAGCAAGAGCCAGCTCTGCCTTGATGGCCTCCCCGCTCCCTGGCCGGTCTTTGTGCAAGGCTTGTTCTACTTGAGACCACAGGGCTAAGGGGTTATCTGTCCTGGTGACCACTGTTTGCCGTCTTGAGCTGCAGGCTCACTGGTTCACCAGGACCCTGTTGAACCGTGGCAGTGACTGGGTTGGGTGGTGGCATTGAGGTGGCAGTGTGATGGGCATGGTAAGGACGGTGACTGTGCGTGCAACACAGGCTCCTCCATGATGCTTCCTCCTTTCCCTGCAGGAAAGAATGATGGCTCCATTGGCGGGAAGCAGTATTTCAGATGCAACCCTGGCTATGGGCTGCTGGTGAGGCCAAGCCGAGTCCGCAGGGCTGCAGGCCCTGGGCGCAGGCGCAGTGCAGGGCTCCAGCCTCAGGGAGCCCCAGAGGCCCGCAGGAGTGCTACCATCTCGGGCTCTGCCACCAACCTGGCCTCACTGACAGCTGCATTGGCCAAGGGCGACCGGAGCCACAAGAACCCCGAGAACCGGAAGTCCTGGGCCAGCTGAATTGCACCTCCTCTGGTGGACACTGATGGGAAGGGAAGGAGCTGGCAGCTCCCCGGAGGACACCCCTTCCATGGGAGCAGGGCCATGAATGCTTTTTGCACGATGCAGGGATGGTGGACAGCCTGGTTCTCCGTCCTCCCTGGGAACCTGGAAGCTGCATTTCTTCCTCTACTTGAAGAAGGCAGAGGCTCCTTAGCTGTGCTCCTCCGGTTGGGGGTGGAAGGTTCTGGGAGCCCAGAGACTTGTGGGATGGTAGCTGGGTAGCAGGGCTGGAGTCAGGCCAGCTCCTCCCTGCCTGCTTGAAATGAGGGCGTCCCAGCCAGGTTTGTTGGGCTTCCCTTTTCCTTATTCTGCTGACTTTACTAATGTCTTAGTTTGTGTCTTGCCCTTCACACACAGGAATTCATTCTCCTGCCCGGGGACCAGCACCCACACCATCCTCTCTGTGCGCCGGGTGCTTCCTCAGTCCCCCAACCATGTCCCATCCTTCTGTGGGGCACACAGGGCTTCTGGGGGGGCATCTCTGCAGGTGTCCAATCTTTACAGCAGAAAGTCTTTTCTGTTGGCTATTCATTTCCTAACAGGATGCTTGAACTCTATTTATTTAATTTATTCTTTTCAAAGCTGAAATGACTCGTGAACCACAACTGCTGTCTGTCAGAGGGTGTTTGCCTAGGGCCTGCCTTGCACTGGCCTCTGGCTACCTGGAGCTGCAGCCTCTTGGTGGCTGCTGGAGGTGGCCAGCAAATGAAGCCACCCTTGTGTTGCTTGACTGCAGATACATCGTAACCTTATTGTCACTGGGGTGAAGGCAGACCCTGGGGTTGGACACAGCTCAGGCCATCAACACCTTGTTTGGATCTGCCATGTTTCAGGGAACAACTGGATAGTGTTTGACTCCATGATAATTCCTAAACCCTGACTACACCTGGGCCAGCAGCTGGGCAGGTAGGCAGTGAGGAGAGAACTGTCCTCATTTTCCTTCCTCGGATATGTGCTGCAGCCATGGTCTATCCCAAGGCATTACCATCCACCTCCTTGCTGGGATGTGTGTGGCCTCTGAGTCAAAGAAATCTGTGTAGGGGGCTGAGCGGGCAGGTCAAAGTCACCCAGTCTCTGTTGTTCCAGGCCCTGCCCTATGTCAGAATTTACACCAGGTATTCTTGGCAGCTTGTTGTAAGTTTTGACTCTCAGAATCTTTGATTTTTCAACAAGGTTTCTTTGTCTAACAGTCCTGGCTGTCCTGGAACTCACTTTGTAGAACAGGCTGGCCTCAAATTCACAGAGATCTGCCTGCCCCTGTGACCCTTAAGAACCACACCCAGAAAGCTTTTGCTGAGGAATTGGTTCAGTGAGGATTTAAGCCTCCGAAGGAAGTAGCAGCAGGCTCCCAGGCCCCTGCCAGGTCCTCAGCCTCCCTGACCCTGTGGCCTCGGTGCTAGTATTGCTGGCACTCCGTCTGGACAGTCTGTGTTGTCTGATTAGCCCAGTATAAACGCCACCACATCTGCTTGCCCACACCTTGACCAGGGGCTGGCTTAGAGCCAGAAGGGTGGATGGTCTCCCGGCAGAGGTGCAGACTCTGCCTTGTGCCTGCACAGAAGCCCCAGCCGAGGAGTTGAGTGGTGTTCTGTTCTTGTCAACAGGGGTCTGGGCTGGCAGAGGTTCTGCCAGCAGAGACCTGCCTCCATCCCCTTCTGGAACAGTACAGATGTCTGGAGTTGCCAGCTAGAGGCGGGCACCAGCCCTCTCGTTCCCTCGGCTGGCATTTGGGGGATACCCTCTAGGTGTGTGTTGCTCAGTTAGCACTGCCAGTGGTCTGAAATCTCGCTAGCTGGAGCTCTCCAGAGCAGTGCAAGTCCTGAGTGATGTAGCTTGGCCAGCTGTTGTCTGGTGGTTCTGGGACCACCTTCTCTCCTTCCTCTTGGCTGCTTGGACCTGAGGTTCCCCCAGCCCTTCTCACCCCCAGGCTGCCGTAGAGTTCCCCCTGCCTCCAAAAAGTACCATTTCCACCGAGCCCTGCAGGACACCCTTCAGGTGAAGCGCTCCAGCTTCACAGGCAGCTGGCCAGAGCACCTGGTCCAGGGCAGCTCCGCCATGGTCTCCAGTGGGGCCCAGCTTTGGAGCTGTTTTGTAAGGGCAGTCTGTCTTCACAGAAGGCTCTGTCATTCTTGTACCTCGGTGCTCGGGATGGAAGTGAAGTTTGGGGGCTCATGCTGGCAAGTTTATCTGCATGGGTGTTTCTTATGAGCCGTCCCTATGGCTGAGGGGACCCTGTGTGTCTGCTCTGAGGGCAGGGAGGTGACCTCAGGAAAGCTGGCACTTCAGGCTGGGTCTGAAGATGTGGATCTTAAGTCCTTGCAGGCCCTTACTGCACCTGGGTTGCACTGTGACCCACATGTCCCCTGCGGACTAAAGAGTAAGCTTTGCTCTTTCTGGGCTGCTACACTAGATGAGGCCAGCCAGGGCCAGCTGCAGCCTCTGTCCAGTACTTACTGCTCTTTGGAGCAGACTAACACTACTTGCAGCTGGAAGTGATGAGATATATAGGGTCATGGTCGCTAACATATGAGGTAGTGGGAGGCAGGTAGTGGGTGTGTAGTTGGGTCCCAGGTCTAAGGGGCAGAGAGCCATTGTTTCTGGGCTGTGTTTAATGATGTGGTCCTTGAGGAGTTCAGAGGTATAGATGATGTTTCCACGGCTGTGGTCTTGCCCACCACCTCATGCCGTAGTGGTTCCCTGTGGGACGCAGGTGAGTGGCTGAGGTAGCATCCATCTACCTGCCCAAGCTGCCTGTGCTGTGTGTTGCCCATGGAGGGTAATGTGAAGCTTCTTGTGCCTCAAGGCCCAGGTCACCTCAGGTCGGTGACTATAGGGCCATCTCTAGTGCCTTCCCTGGGGCCAGTGTCTAGCCTGTGCTTCCAGCCCCAGACACTACCCAAAGCATCTTTTTCTTAAAGTCTGTGGTGCCTTCCTGTCAGGCTGTGGACACTCATGGTTTTGGGAGAGTTGGGACAACATGGGTGTGTGGATCATGTAAATATGAGCTCACATGAAGTGATGTTGATTCCAGGATTACAGTGATCTAGTACATATTAAATGGGAGTTAAAAATCCAAAGACCCTGTAATGAATAGTAAAGATGATTGATGATCTATGTTGTACGATGAACCAAACTACTGTAATTTTGTACCATAAATGCCTTTCCATGAAGTGACCAACAGCTTCTAAATAAAGCCAGATGGTTTCTTGCTTATATCCGAGATCTGTCCTAACTGTTCTTCCCTACCCTCACTTTGGACTTGACCTTACTATGCTATCCCTTGGTGGTGGTCCTAGGGCTTTTCAAGATGAACAGAAGGAGTTCAGAGAGAGCAGTAGGTCCCAGGGCACAAATTTCTGTGGCCCACAGGTTTGGACCAGAGACCCTGGGAGGCTCCCTTGGCATCTTGGCCTGTCTCCAATTCCTCACTCACATCAGCCCCTTATAGAAGCCAGGCAGCAACAGGAACTCCTGGGCTCTTAGACTCAAAAGAAACTGGGGCTTCAGGGCTAAGAACACATAGCAGTGTGTATGTGTGGGTCCCCTGCTTTCAGGCAGGGCTTTCACCATCTCCTTCAGCCTGTGAGATAGGCCCCACTGTGGACTCAACTAGAGAGCACAAAGCCTTTCTACTGCTGCAGAAATAGACATGCCCTGTGGGCTGTGGAACCTGGCTTTGGCCTGCCTTACCAGGAAGCCTGTTCTTCCTGGTTTGTGTTAGGGAAGGGACCAGGCCTCCTTTGCTTCCTCTGGAACCCCACTCCAAGCCACCCTGCCACAGCAAAGTACCATTTTCAGGCTTCAGGACTTGCTCATGGTTTTCTCCTTGCACCTAGGCATCATTCTGCCCATGTCTCCTCAATAGAATAGCCTGGGAATGCAGGGTCAAGGCCACATGGAGGCCTGGGGAAGGTGCCATCAGCCACAGGCAGCTTCTGTCTCCACAGGACTTGTTTGTATTCCCAAGTGCAGCAGAGTTATTCTCAGAGATAAGCTCTGCCAAGCAGCGACAGAAATGTGGCAGCCAGGGGCAGCCCCATGAGAGATGAGGCAGGATTCTGAATGGAACTGATCCAGCACAGGGTGTTGGGGGTGGGTGGGTGGATACATCATCTTTTCCAGGCTGCTGTTACCAGGCAGCCCCAGGAGATGTCTAGTCCATACCAAGCCCGGGCATGGGCTCTAGTGGGTGTCACACTTGGCTCACTCTTGGCTTACCAAGTTACTCAAGGAATGTGTGCACTGATCCTGAGCCTGGAGTGTAGCCAGCACCGTCTCTTGGATGCAGAAAGGAGGGGGTACCCCAGGGAGATGCTTAGCCATGTAGTGCATGTGCCCAAGCTGAGGAGACTCGGGCATAGGTTGAAATAGGAGTTTGGGGCCTAACTCTGCAGCCCCATGAGGTAGGGATAGGCCTGTTCTATCTAGTCTGTGTCCTAATTGCCTGAGCCGTGCCCGTTAGACTCCAGATGGCAGCTTCAGAGTCTGCAGCCTTCTGTATGCCCTACCATGAAGGGAGAATAGTTGATCTCAGTCTTCTAAGGAGGGGAGGGTCAGTGGATCTGCCTGTGGGAGAGGGAAGGCTGGGACCTGGTCCTCGCTCTGCTCACCCCTGAAAACCAGAACACAGATAACAAAGCTGCTGCTTTCTATTTCTGCTGCTTCAGATACAGCGTTTGGAGCTGGCTCCTTTAAGGGGTCCAGGGTAGGGTTGGCTGCAACAGGAAATGAAGAGAGATCAAAAAGGGATAGCACCTTAAGCTTGGCTGTGATCCTTGGGGTGGAGCCTTACTGGGTGCCCCTCCCCAAACATAGGCACATAATGGGAATGCAGGCAGTCTAAGCTCCTACTGGGCCACTGTGGTTGGGGGCTTGGGGGGTTCCTAAAAGATCCCTTAGGGTGACATGGGGCACAGGGTCAGAAGGGGCAGGGCTTCTCCTGCTTGGGCCTTGGTGCTATGATCTCTCAGCTCCCCAGTCCCTTTGGAAAGCCTGAAAGGCAATGGGGGCAGGGCATGTGCCTGGAATACAAGAGGCCTCATGTTTGATCCCCAGAACTGGAAAACAAAGCCAAAACCCTGGAAATGCACGAGGAAGGGTGCATAGAACAGACACCTGTACCCAGTTCTGCCAACCAGGCACACTGTCCCCGCCCTCTCCCCCATTAAATTTTTGGATCCAAAGAAATCCCAGACAGCCTTTGCTCAGTTATACATTTTATTCTCTAATAGGTACAATACTAAAATAAACACAAATTAAAAAAAAGTTTTATTAAAACAAAACTGTACAAAAAAGCAGTATACTACATTTTAATTACAGAACAGTCTACTGTCCAAAAGGCACTAATCCAGAATAGGAGATACAATGAACCAGGACTCATCGGAACTATTTAATCAATACAGTAGAGCACTTGTTTCTTTGACCATTTACATCCAGAAACAAGAGCTTCTTGCTACAGTCATCACACATGGTTATAATCCGAGTCCTACTGGGAAGGTGCAGTATCACTTCCTAGAGCAGGCTCCACCAGGGGCCCAGGAGGGGGCTGGGAAGATGTGGGCAGAGGTGGGCACCCAAGCTTGTCTTGGCTCTGGCGGGTTGGTTCTGGCCATTACTGGCAGCCACTCTAACCCCTCTCCTGTTTAGCACCAGCAAAGTGGGTTCTGAGATGCTCCAGGTCAAGGACAGGAGGTCTGGTGACAGCTCCAAGAGGGGAGGCATCTGGTAACCCTGTCTGAAAAGGCAGCAGCTACCTGAAGGGGGGGTATGGCCCAGTGACAGCTGGCAGAGCCACCTGGGCGGCGGACAGAGGTTCCCCTTGCTCCCTGGGTCTTGAGTATCCAGTGATCCTGTCTGGGAAGTCGGTTTCTAGAAGGGGAGTCTGCTTCCCAGGGACAAGTCAGAAAGCCATGCCTGGTCTCAAAGTGCAAGCCACCCTGAGGGGCACGGTGGGAGGTAAGCCCTGCTCCCCTCTGCTGGGTGGCCAAGACACCTCGCTGAGCCCAGCTTTATCATCACAGACTGGCCTAAGGAAGAAGGATACTGCAGCTTTCCAAACAGTGTTACACAGAGAAGACGAAGACAGGCATCTGATGTTAACAAAAATAAGTAACAAAGAAGTGGGATTAACCGAATCTCTTCTCACAGCGCCCTATACTACACCCTCCTTCTGCTTAGCAGAAAAATTGTACGTACACAAAAATACAAATACACAATTTGTAGAACAGTCTGGTTTTAATATATTTATATATATTTATATTTATACGAGTGGCAGGTTAGTTCATTATATAGAGCTTTTTGCACTTTTGGCTCATATGCAACAAGGCTTATAAATTCAGCTTTAGCTTTCATTCAGATTTTATAGCTTTTGAACAATTTTTTCACATTTAAAGCAGCATCCAATTTGCACTAGGAGTCTGTGGTGATTACGGGAAAGATGGGGTCAGGAGGTTATGGGGATGGGACGGGATACATTCCAGTGTGTGTGGCATGTAAGGAGGATTCCATGTGGACAGAGCTTGCCATGATGACCCCTTGAGGTAGACTGGACACCTGACAGCAGACGCAGACACAGGTGTGACACCCTCAGGGATACATGGCACACAAGATGGGGACAGAGACCAGAGGAGACACCAAAGGGAAACACAGAGACTAAGACACACAACGGCCGAGGCCAGGAGGGCGCTCTGCCCCCGCCCCCACTCATCTGGCAGGATCCTACACAGCCATCACGATGAATACCTGCAGGCAACCTCAAGACATCTGGTCCCTGGTGTCTGGTCACAACACGTGAGCCTGCTTTCCACTTCCCAGCTGGCCATGCCAGCTTGTTCCCAGCCTAGTGAACTACACAAGCCGCGCTCAACAGGAGTGGCTCTCACTCCTTAGCATTTCGGCTCTTGCTAGAATGTTCAAGTCCAGTCAGAGCCCAGAACCCTGGCCCTCTTGATGCTCTGACTCGGCTGTCCCCCCACAATCACGCATCTGGCTGACATTCCTCAGTTACACCGGGCCTGACAGGTGCTTGGTAGACCATGAGTGCACCATCTAGAGGAGGGGAACAGCACTCCTCAGGGGCAGGCAGCATGGCTGGCATGCGCCACACAGCCCCACCTTCATCACGCGGCGGGCCGCTCCCCCACAGCCTTCCCTTCCCTTCTCTAGGTGGGGCAGCTCACGGGTGAGGTCGTCCAGGCCTGTTCCATGCGAATGCCCAGTGTTTGCACTACTCCATAGTCGGAACAAAAGAAATCCTGGGTAAGTCATGAAAATAAGGTGCCTGTCTATGGATTGTTCCTTTCCCACTCATCTGTCCTACACCCCACATAAATAAAGGCCTGGATCTAGTTCAGACTTAAATTATTCTCAAAACAAAACAACTCCTTTTTAAAAATGCACACTGGATCTTTCTACAACTCTACTGATGATGATCCTTGGTTCCTGGCTCCCTGGTATCTGGGCTGTCGATGTGGCCAAGGCTCCAGTACTCATGGTGGCAAAGGGGCACAGGTTTATCAGCTATGACCCCTGCCTGCCAGCCCTCTTAGAGCTAGAAATGTTCTCCGAGTGCTGACAGACAGAATTCTGCTCAGAGGCTAAGTAGACTCCTTAAAACTCCCTATGATCCAAGACCACAGTCACATCAACAGAAGGGACACAGCGAACAGTGACAAAGCCAGCCCTCTCCCCTTGCTTGCCCTTGTGACCATTCTGCCTGCAGAATGGCAGGGGCACTGGGTGGGTGGGGCGCACAACACCCACCCTGAGGCTGGGCGCATGGTGGGAAGGACAGGGCACAGGCCAACTCTCGGGCAGGTCCCAGAGGTTTGTAACTTGCTTAGGCACTTAAAACATAAATGAGAATTTGATCCTGGAGGTACTGCAGACTCAACGTAACCATGGCCATGGAGGGGAGGTTGAGCCCATGACCTCAGAGAAGCCTGTAGGCTCTTCCAGGGAGGCAACTGCCACACTCTCTAGGACACCGACCTTCCAGCAGAGTGTGTCCTACCTTGCAGCCAGTGAAGTTATGTGGTGGCTCAGGGGCCAGTTTGGCCACTGTGGTCCCTGATCTGCGCCTGATGAGCTGCAGGCTACCCTGACACACTGTTCAGGGTCCTTGTGAGAACCACTAAGAGAAGAAGGGAGCTTTCATAGTGGTGTTGTGGTAGAACCAAAGAGCAGGAAGGAGAAAGCTTGCCAGGATGGCCAGTGCTTGGAAAGAAAAAGGCTCTACCCACCCCGAGAACTTTGGTTTTCTTCTGGTGCCCATTTTCTGAGATGCGTGATGAGGTCCCCACAGATTTCAGTATAGTCAACGTAGGCATCAAGGCAAATGGTAAAGGGATTGCTTTCTGAAAGCAGCCATGAGCACTCACCTCCACTCAGCACACACAACTCACACAGGCACCTCCCCACCTGCAGACAGGGCCCAGGAAGCATCTGTACAATGGCTACTGTTTGCGTTCATACAACTCTCATGCCATCTGGTTTCTAATGTCACAACCTCAGCAAGCCATGGAGTGGACAGACAGCCTCACAGGTTAGTTCCAGTAAAGCAAAATGGGAGGGGTTTCTGGGCTCAGGAAGGTACAAAACAAGACTGGGGAGAGATTCGACCTGAAAGTGCTGGGAAGCTAAATCCTGGAGGAGCAACGAACCTTCAAACACAAGTCCTGGGACCTGCCTGTCTCGAGCCCTGGGTAGGCGACAGGCACTGACCTTACTCCACAATTTCCATGGCACCTTTGGCCACCAACAGAGATGCAAAATCTTGATCATACCAAAATGAAAGGCACACATACTCTTTCTCTCCAATTCAAGGTGTTTGGGGGCAGAATGAGGACAACGTTAAGACCCCACTGGCCAGCTAGTCTAACAAGGTGTCAGCAGCCCCAAGAGCCGGCCTGCTGGGTCCTTCAACTTTGTTCCTCAGTGCTTTTCATTCTCTTGGGCTGTAAGGCTACCTATGATGTGACAAGACATCAGAAGGGGACAGTGACCCAGGCAACTCTAGGAGAACCTAATTTTGTGAGAAAGTTAGAAAGGAAGGTGGGGAGGAGCCCAGCCGGTCATCAGTGCCTGACCAACAGTCACAGGACCCGGAGGCAGCTTGCTCTGTTCCTGGATTCTGGATATTAAGAAGTTCTTATTCTAGGCCTAAATTTGGGTGTCTTCAGGTATCTACTTATGGGCTGGTCAGTGTTGAGGGGCCAAGGCCACAGCAAGGTGGCACTAATACCAGAATAATACCAGAACACCAGAACCGTGGATTCCACAATGCCCCCACCTTCCTTTCTGATTGTGGTAGAGGGATGGCGGGCAGGGTTCACCAAACCCTTGGGAACTCCAGCACGAGGCCTCAAAGTCCCAGGAGTTAAGTGCCTCAGGAACTGAAAAGAACAGGCTCGTGGCGGTCACTGCCTGGTGGGGAGGCCTGGGGTCTAGCACCCCACAGCCGAGGCAGTGCTTGAAAATTCAGCTGCAGAGAAGACGACAGGACAAGTGCCAGTGGCCCTGGGGTGACCCAGTGCTGCCAGAGAAGAGCAAGCAGGTTGGCTGTGACCTCAGCAGAACGAGATGACACATTCCCCAAATGCCACTATCTTCCGACTCTTACAATAATCATTTCTGGGATTAGTTTAAAAAAGAAAAAGAAGAAGAAAAAGCTATTCAGAGGCAAATACTACCTACACTGTCCTTGATGACGAAGCCAGTTTTGTGTTTTGAGGTGGGGGTATCTGTGGGAATACAGGAATATTTACCCTGGATAGGGTGTTTTTAATCAGAGTGGCCCCCTGGAGCACCCAGGCAGATCACATTGGGGCTTCTGGTTGAACACCAATCCAGTCTGTCCAAATGCTTACAGGTAATCATAGTGTTCTGCTGCTGTGCAGTACGTATCACACAAATCACAAAATTCGCTCAACTAGTGACTTTTTGGAATCGAATCAGAAGGCAGCGAACCTGAAACTACCGGAGACTGCTATGGCTCAGCAGCTGGAAGGTGAGAGAGGGTTAAAAAATCCAGTCCTCAGCAAGGATCGCACCTCTGACCTGCAGGCAGGGGAAGGGACCACAAGGTGACTTTGATAGAAGCGGCAGCCATGGCCACCCTTCTAGGACCACCGTTCTGGGTGCATGTCATCAAAGGTATGTGGGAGGGATCACACCGGAGCATCTCCAGGAACAGAATCTTCTCCTCACTTCTGTGCATCTGTGTGCTGAGGGAAGAGGGCTCTCTAGACTCTTCTAGGCAAGTGCTCGACCCCAGCCATTTCACACGACAAAGCTAAAACCAGCATCTTGGTTGAGTAGTGTTCTGGGTGAGAGGGGGCACATTCAGTAGAAAGGGCGAAGACACACATGGCTACTAACCACACCCACAGTGTCCAGCCTGAGAAAGGACAGGGCTCATGGACTCCAGCTAACCTCACCTGAGTCGTGAGCCTCACGGGCAGGAGAGCTTAGAAAAGGCCACTTAGCACTGGTAGCTGCTGGCATTCCTGTGGACCCTTCTGATCCTCTAATTGAATCAAGGCTCCTGCAAAGGATGACTAGAAAGAAAAAAAAAAAAAAGGCCAGACTAAGCATCAACTGGAGGACTAGCCAGTGTCTACAGCTCCTAGTCCTGAGGACGCCGCAGGCTATGAGGATTACATGCTGCCTGCCTGAAGGCACAGGTGCACAAAGAAAAGCAAGGGGGGGGGGGATGAACATGGCTTCTGAAGAGCCAAGAACCCAGTACTGACAGCAGAATAGCACGAGGAGGCATGCAACAGCAGAACAAGCCCGCTATGCGCAGGTCGGCGTATGCAGACACAGCTTCCTGCTCCTGAGGAATGCCCGAGTCCACACATTCCGGTGTGAGGTCAACTTGTACCTGTTCTTGTCATCTGTTCTGGAAATAGTCAAGTTCCCAAGGAAGAGTCTACAAATCCTAGAAGCCCCGCAAAGCAGCAGGTGTCCCCAGGGGAGGTGTTCCAGTCTCCAGTGAGAGGATGGGGACAGGGAGGCTCCGCCAGAGGCTGCCTCTGTTTGTTGCCTAGTTTCTGCCCCAAGTAGCATAGGTTGAAACTGGACAGAGGTTTCAGAGAATTTACAAGTCAGCTGCAGGCAATAAGCAATCCATTCTGGACCTGAACTGCTTCCCCATCCTTTCTCACTTGGGTGGGACATGAATCCTATGTCATTATTTGGTTTACTGAACTGCTGTTCCAAATGTTCTTGGGAGCATTAGTACTCAAAGGGAACAAAGATGGGTGCCCTGCTATTCTCAACCACATAAAGGACAGAAATCCTCTTAATTATGACCATGCCAATCTACATCCTGCTAAAACAGCTAATTACATGTCAGAAGGACACTCAGTCATTCGGAACAATTGCCATTATACTTTTATATATTCATTCTATGCCACCCCCCTCAATTACCATGGTTACAATTTGAAAAAAGACTCAGCCCAATCTTCATTTGATCACAGTACACCACCATGAATTTGCGAGTTAATTATGGCTGTATGGAGCCAGTCTTATTTAAAGAGAGAAGATGGACATGGAGTCAGGGGAGCTGGCCTCTTGGGTGTTCTAAGTGGGGCACCAAGTTCCTCAACAACAGTGCTTGGAGCTGTACAGCCTGAACACTGGAGACAGAAAGGGCTTGTCAGCCAAGGATGGCAGCAAAGTTCCCGTGCTACCCAGCAAGGGCTAGAGGTAAAGGGTGGGATGAGAGCCAGAGGGAACTCCACCAGTGGAAGGCAGCTACTCACATCTCACCTGAACGGAACCAACTAGATTCAGTTCTGACTGGATGGCAAGAATGACAAAAGCAGCTTGGGGGCATCTGGAATCCCAAGGCAAACACCTTGGTGACGAGATCACAGGGACAGATGGACCTTCCCTCAGTCTCAGCCTCTCTTGGTTAAAGAAGAAAATCAGTGCTGTGGAGGTCTAGGTGGCTCTGGTTGATTTTTTTTCCTGATTTGTTTCCTTATCCCCACCCTCAAGACAGTGTAATGAAGTAGCTACAGAAACCTTTCAGTCTTCAAACTTCAGCTTTTCACAGTCCACAGATAGGCACAAGGCTTCATTTCTGAGCACCTGCCAGTCCTGTATGCTGGCATGAGGTGCAGTGTGTGTCTCCTCTTCAGTTTAGAAACAGACGGCACACACTGGGTAAGAGAGGAGCTTTTAAAAGCAGAACACGGGTCTGATGATGTGACGGCTCCCTAAGACTTCCCTACTGCCTTCGGAGGTCAGTTCTCTAGCGCAATAAGGAAATCACTCTTCTCAGGTGATGGTCATCTCTGAAATGGAGGGTGTGTGATGAAGGAGACTATGCAGTACAGGGCCCTGTTCTGAGCACATACTACCATGACAGCCTTAGAAAGCGGCTGGCCATCCATGGCTGCTCCTTGGAAAGTCTCACTGTTGTCTGGGTGCTCACTGTTACAGTCCTAACGCATGCTATGGAGACAGTGGGGAAGGGTCTTCAGAGCTATAGCTCAGTTTGCTAAATTCAGTATGGATGACAACTAGTGGCCCAATCCTGAGTAAGCATGCTGGCGTGCGCGCACACACACACACACACACACACACACACACACACAGAGGAATGCTGTGCGTATGTAATTCCTACCCCTGCCCCATTGCATCCCCACCCAACTCCCACTCAAACATATGCACAGCATTACTGGTTGATGTGCCCAACCTTCACTTGGGAAATCTTAAAAACTAAGTTTGGCTCAGTAAAGCTGAAAGTGGATTTGGCTGGTCTCAGTGCAGCCTCAATGAATACAGTAGTGAAATAGAGCTGATAATCATAGCAACAGATGACATCACAGAGATGGCCAGAGACTGACGCCCTGCAGGAGGCAGAGAGCCACTGAGCCCAAGACCACCAACCACAAGAAAAGTTATTGCCTAAGAACCTGGTGAGGCTCACGGGAAAAACCCAGCCTGTTCTCTGGCTTTAACAGCAGAGCTGAGTTGAATGGGAATGTTGTCTTTAATTCCAGCACTCAGGAGGCAGAGGCAGGTAGATCTCTGAGTTCGAGGCCAGCCTGGTCTACAGAGTGAGTTCCAGGACAGCCAGGGCTACACAGAGAAACCCTGTCTGGAAAAACACAAACAAACGAAGGGGAGAGGGGTTGAAGCTGCTTCTAACCAAATCCTTTTTGGGGCCAGGGAGAATAAGGACTTGAAGGGAACACTTTTAGAACAGGCTAGAGAAGTCACTGTGGAAAGGGGATTAGTCTCAGTGCGCAGACAAAGGTAACAGGCTTGGCAGATGGAGTTCTGGCTACCCAAAACAGGAAGGAGGGTCCAAATTCCGAGGCAGACTAAATGCTACCCATTAAGCTTGTGGTCAGAAGAGAGAAAACGTCCTGTGAAGTCAGCTCAAGACAGAGATGCAGTGCTGAAATACAAAATGGAAGGGGGGGCCTTTCAGAGATGGAAACTCGAGTGCTGGGAGCATCCTGATGGACTAGGGTCTGCTGTCGCTAGTGCCTGACGACTGGTACTCAAGAAGACTTCCTAAAAGGAGAGAGCTGAGACGACTGTGCCAGAACTCTCCGTGCGCTATCCCTATGAGGTAAAAATCAATCCAGGTGTCTGCTCCTGAAAAACTAGGTGTAGCTGAATGATGAACCTCCCAGGAACCAGAGCTCTGGAGTGGAGGACAGTAGTCCAAACAGGCTTCTAACTCACTCATGTCTTTGTAAGATCACCTGCCGGGCTGGAGTGAAAAGAACCCAGGGCCTTCTGCCTCCCCATCCCAGGCCCCTCCTCCTGCAGCCTGCCTCATATGGTATTCCACACAAACTTGGCTGCTGTGAACTCAAGTGTGTCCTGGGTTCTGAGGGCACTGTGGAGTCACACACAGGGAAGCACTGTATTGCCCTTCCTGGCCATCCTCTGCTGCTGGCTGCGACTGTCTTCAGCTAGGCAGGGTTATCTTAAGATGGGCCTTTGTTAACAAGTTGCACGTAAGGTACTAGAAGGTGAAGTTACCTTCCTATCCGGCAACAGTAACTCCAAGTACTTGAACACTCACTCACAGCACACTATGGTGGCCGTGCCCCTCCCTCGTCCCTTTCAGCATCTTCATGGGTCAGGAAGGCACAACTCCTGAAAGAGATCCAGGGCCACCAGAGGTACTGGAGGTGAGAGCAGAGACAGGCATGCAAGGATAACACAGGACGAGTCCAGTCCAGCTCTTTCCCTCTCAGCACGGGGAGCTCAAGTTTCTGATTTCATACCATACCTACAAGCTGGAAAAGCTCAAGGAAAGGTCTGCCGTCCATAGGAAGGAGAATGAGTGTGTAGCTCTGTGGCTATCCCAAGAGCTCCGGGACCTGGACACAAAAGGAGAATCTGACCTGGTGACCCCCCCCCGAAAACGACCTAATGGTAGATTTGAACCTCGATCCCAAAGAAGCAAATTCGTACTGTGGGCCAGATAGCACAGCTTCCTTGTAAGGCTCTGAGTCCGTGGGCATGCGGCACCTTCTCCAGCAGAAGAAGGACTAGTGAGGCCCTCTAGCTGGCTCAGCAGAGCCAGGCTCCGGCAACTACACTCTTCTGGTGCCACCACACTACCACAGAGCTGGCACTGCCTGCACCAGCCAGGGCTTGGTAGCCTCTGCTGCATCTCTCTCTCAAAGGTCTTGGGACAACAGAACGTTTTGCTTTTCTGATGCAGTCAGAGTTCCCTTAGAAACTGAGCTGTCTTAGCAGCCGGAGTCTGTGCCTTTAAAAAGGCAAGCAGGAAGAGATAACAAGAGAATGGCTCAGAAAGAAGCTGTCAATCATGGATGTGGCTTGTCAGAAAAATAGGCTCCCCCCACCCCGTTCTTTCTGATCCAACTGAGAACAAGCAGACAAAACTCAACCAAGGAGAAAAGACACAATAGGTATATTTCTTCTTAGTAAACAAGAGGAAAGAAAGACAATGTAATCTCCTAAGTGAAATAAAAAAAAAAAAATCAAATAAACCATGGAAGATTCTAAGTAGGTGTGGGGGTTCCTGAGAATAAGAAATGCTACTCTTAAATTTGTGGGTTCAAGTACTACAGTAAGAGAAGATGGCTCCATTTTACTTCAGTTTTTGGAGCTGGGAAGAATGTACATTTCCCCCTGAAATCCATGGACAGGAGCAGGACCAGGCTCTACCTAGAGCTCTTCAAAGTCACAGACATAGGTGGGGTAGCATCCTCAGGGCCCTCAAAGACGACTCTTCACATTCGAGTAACCAAGACTTACACCTAAAGGGATAATGCAGTCCGAGTGTGCCCAGTAAGACCAGCTACATGCTGTGGATACCGAGTATCCGGCCAGCCAGAAGGGGAGAATGAGGGTGGGTGTGCTCTCCTCTCTCAACAGCTTTGAAGTTCAGCACATTTGCTGAGGAAGGAGGAGGTAAGGAGATGGTACCTACTTTCTATCTTAGAAATTGGTTCAGGTAATGGACAAAAAGACGGAAGCCGTGCTTAATGGCCCACTCCACATTGCCCTCCAAACAAGGCTTCATCAGACACACGAAGGAGAGATGGGATGAGGCAGAAACACTTAGCCTCTCTCAGATACACACTGTGCCAACACACTGACAGCTGCGTCTTCTTACCCACAGTGACAGTGTGCCATTTAATCAGGTTGCCAGGATCATTTTCATACAAGGCCAGCAGATGTAATTTTCTTTGATGCATGAATAGTTCATCATTTTGCTACTAGATGACAAGGTGATCACAGGGTGACTTTATAACGCAACTTCACTGTTTGGTATTTTGAGTTCTCAAAATGAAAAAAAGATTTATCAAATATAAATATCTTTAAAAAGTAACAAAAGTGCTACATATGTGATCAAGGAAAAAAATTCCATTAGTTACTGCCGCTTGAAGTAGATTAAACTACAAATATTACCACATCCATTATCAATATGGCTTCCAATTATTAAATAAATTGCCTGTAGCAATATAGCTTTCACACCTCCACAAGGACAGAGTCAAGGGAACAAAGCAGACACGTCCTGCTGTGTCCCCCACACTCACGCTACAAGTGGTGGATGTCCCCTGCTTTTTCTGCCCCTGGCTAGGCAAGGATCTGCATCTGTGACAGTCCCCGACAGAGTCCTAGCAACTCTGGGCAGGCTTCAGGTGATGGGTGCAAAGCCTGCTCTTTCACTCACTTTTGATCTCAGCTCTATCCTTAGAGACTCTTTGGGCAGCAGGGAAAGGGCACCCATAGGAGGCAAAGCAACTCCATGGTATCTCCAGCACTTTCCCAGGCAGGCGCTGGAACCGTGTGTGGAATGTATAGAGGCTCTGAGGACTGGGCTGAGCATCCAGCCCACCTTCAGCTCATACTCTCCCCTGCTGCTCTCAAGCTGGGCTTTTGCTTTTCAGAACTTGGTTTTTTTGTCGTTTTTGTTTTAGGATTGTGGTCCCAAAGGCAGAAGGCAGTATGTTATCTACTAAGTCACACAGCTCGTAAGAGGAAAGGATGTCTGTGTTGGGCATGTTAACATTAACCAAGATCTGAGCTCGGGATTCCAATGACATTCTTAGCACAGCACCCAAAGAAGTATAGTCTAGCCACGTTGTGACTAGGAGGCACGGCTTATTGCAGCTGAATCAACAACCATCTCCGGCTGAGGCGGGGCTCTAGTGTTCCTTGCGCTCCGTGGATACTTCCCGGATGGTGTCTGTCGGTCCTGTGCCACTACCTCAGCTTGCATCCTGTCAGTCTTGGGGCAGGAACGGGGTACAGCCTAGTGGTACATGAATCTAAAGGTACCCAAGATTTTACACAGAGCCTAGTATTCAAGAACTGAGGGTTATCTAAATACCTGGAAGCACTTTCTTGGAATGCTAAAACGGAGCAGCGAGATTGTTTAGCCTCAGGGGCTGGGAGAGGACCGTTTGGTTGGTTGGTTATTACTTACTGGGATTTGAACACTGAGAGAGTATATGCAAAGGCTGAGGGTACCATGCCATCTTCACAGAACAAGACCCTAACGGCTACCTGACATACAAGAACTGTAAGTTATACTGTAAGAACACATGTTAAGGACCGAGGAAAGTCTGCTAAGGTGCTACGTCTAAACTAAGTTAACTGTGTGATTCTCCCTCATCAGTCATCATCCAGGGCCTCTGTCTTGATCTCATTGGCTCCCTGCCGGGCCAATGCCAAGATAGTGTGGTTGACGGCTGCCATCTCCACAGCTAGTGAGATGGGGTCTTGGTGGTCACTATGGCTCGTGCTGTCATCCTAGACATGTAGAAATAAGAAAGGAGTGTTATTTGTTGGCCGGGAACAGTTTTCAAGCTTACAAGAAGGCATGCAGGGGTGCCGTGCAGGGGACAGAGCATCTGTGGAGGAAACTGCCCAGTGCATCTCATGGTGGAGTGAACTGTATTTAAGTAGACACTGAATGGACGTGGGTCCAAAGACTTTCAATGTTTTTGTGACTCAACAAATAAAAAGGACAAAAATGATTTGTTTTGTTCTTTTTTCCACTGAGAATTTATTTATTCTACCAAAAAATTGCTAGTGGTGATCAAACCTGAAGTGATGAAAATAAACTAGGAATCTGGGTTCTTCTTTTGTCACAGATACAACAGTAATCACTGAGCCCAAACTAGCGCATTCCTAAATCCACCAAGCTATTGAGTGGCTACTGGAATCCGTGGTGTGTCACTGCTGAGAACAGTAAAGAAAATTGAGAAGTCCAGGCACCTACACCTTACAAGTCAGGGAGGGTCCTCAGTTACACAAGCCACAAGTGCAGGATCCCATTTAGAGCTAAGTGAAGCTCTCCACCCTCTGAGCTCCACATAATAAACAGTAAAGCTGCTGCAGGCTTAGTGGTACATGTCTGTAACCCCAGCACTCCCAGGCTGAGGCAGGAGACTGACTGCAAGTTCCAAAACCAAACCAAACCAAACCAAACCAAACCAAACCAAACCAAACCAAACCAAACCAAACCCAGACATCAGAGGAACGAAGCTGTGAAGGAAGCTGTCCTTACAAGTTGTGTGCTGGGCACTGAAGGTGCTATCAGAGAGAAGGGGCGTTTCTCACCTGTCACATCTTCAGGGGACTCTGTACCAAAGAGCTTTGGAAAGGGGAAGTCCCTTGGGGGAAAAAGCATAGGATGTGCTGCCCTCAGGGCATCTGCAAAAAAAGATGGAAATGATCCATCTATATGGGTCAGCTGAAAAATAACAGGAACGTTTCGGACAAGGAAGGAAAGAGCAATCTCCTGAGCCAAAGCTGGAGCTGTGCTTGGAGAACTGACTCTTGTCGGGAGATAATCTTCTGGGACACATGGGTGCTACTGTTTCATTCTGGCTTTTAGACATAAGCCTTTAGGATTTAAGAAGGAATCTGCAGAGAATCACATGCCAGTCTGGAGTATTGGGGTACACAGAGGTAATGAAACACAGAGAGAATGAAGAGCATGGCAGACTGAGGGACAAGGAAACCAACGAAAGAAAGAGCAATGCTTCCTTGCCAGAGTCTAGGGAAGGAGCCGTGTGTTCTTTGAATTTCCCAAATGGAAATGAAACTTAGAGCCTATAGAAAATCTTAATGAAGTCTGTCAACATGTTTGTGGGTAGGGGGAACTTTCCCAACTGTAGTCATTGACTTATTCCATGCAGTGGCCACATTTAAATACACTTTCCCCAAGCAATGCAGAGCACACCAGGATGAGATGAGAAGACATGCAGGGATTGCATTTATGACAAGATGAGTGCGTCAATGTCCAGAGAGACTCTGGTTAACCATTCCTCTGGGCATGAGGGTTCCCACTGTAATGGGGCTGGAGTGGGCGGGGCCTTCTGTTGTGTCCCGCATGGTCCATATGTAGGCACCATCACCGCTGCCCGCGTGCCCCTAAGTGCTTCTCAAACACTGTGTGTGTGGTAAGTGGTTAACTTGCTTGTTTGGGTCAGATCCTCCTCTCTTCTTCTACCTTCTCTGCTTCTCTGCCTCCCTCTGAACTTCTTCCCTCCTCCTCCTCCCCATTGCGTGCTTGCCAAGTGTCCTGTTGTGTGACAATAACCCCATAGGGGTGGATAGAGATTACTCACAGATTTAACAGGACAACAGAATCTTACCACATGAAAATCTAACTAGACACATGAGCAGAGTGGAGGGACACTGACTGCTCCCCCCACCTCCCCATACGACCACACCCACGGACTGGAGTTGCCATATGCCCCACCACTCTGGAACCAGAAGCCTCAGCTCAGCCACCCACCTGCTCGGAGTAGTCGTTCCCATCCACGTCATCACTGTTGGAATGGCCTCCTGGACTCTGTACATCTATCCCATGACTCTCCAGGATTGCTGCTTCTTCGAAAAAAGCAAATAGATCCCTAAATTATCTGCTGCCTCATCACAGTGGCTGAACCATGACTTTTATGGTAAGGAAGTCAGAACATAGTTAATCTGTTTCTAATGAGCTGTAAATGGGAGAAATTCAACTCTGTGTAGCTCAGGGTAGAGGCCTGGCTTCCATACACATCAAACTACCAACCTGGACTGTTGGGCACTTCACAAAACTTATAATTCAACAGCTGTCCTGGTGGGGCTGTACAAAGTAAACGAGAATTGGGATGACCAGTAAGAAGTCTATTCACAAATGAAATGCAATTGTACTTCTTGTGGTGCTGGGTACCAAAGCCAGGTCTTTTTTGTCACTGTGCTACCCCAGCCCCTGAAATACAACTTCAGAAGTTTAAATGAACCTTTTACTCCTACCTCGTCCACTCAAATCTCACTTTTACCAGCTTTGAATAGGACACCAATCCTGTATTTTTTTTCTTTTTTTAGTTGAACGCACATTTTCACATGGTCTCCCATCCTCCAGCTTTATTAAGATCTGGTTGGCCAGTGGCAACTGTTTGGAGTATACAGCTCAGTATGCAGCAATAAGTATACACTGTGAACTGACAAAATCCAACGTCAGATTCTAAAATGCACTTTATTGCTGCTTTTGCTTCCTGTCTGCTGAATCTCTTGCATTCCAGCTACTGATCAGATGTTTCTCAGTGTCTAGGTCATAGTTGCAGCAGTAAGCAGGATGGGAGCATCATAATTCCTCTCTTAAGACCCCCATAGAAATCCTTAATATAAGTCACATGAGTAACCCATTGCTCAGGGGTTAATTCTACAATCTGGAACATTAAGAACAATCAGCTTTATAAATAACAAAGACGTTATTAAGATACAGATAAAACAGTGCAGGTAACACTGACCTTGGGATTAAAAAGGCAAAGAAGAGAAGCACTGGTGCTTCTCGTCAGACCTAAGTGGTACGATACTTAGACCTGCAGCTCATCAACTGGCCACTCTTATCCATTTCTAAACTTCTCATGAGAGAAGGCAGTCTCTCTGATACATTACCGATATTTGCTCTCCTCTTGATCTCCTTCCGTCTATTAGCGAACCAATTATAAACTTTCAGAGAGGTAACTCGTTCCAGGTCGGACAGCTTTTTGCCTGTGAATGCATGCAACAAAATTCAGATAATCTGTATCTTGGATCCAACCAAGACTGAACTGTTCTTAAGAAATATGTCTCTGCTAAAAGTTGCTTTTGATTCTATTTATTGCCAAAATAACAGATGGAGTGGATTCTTTTTTAGCATTGCTTAGTACTAGGAACCCACTAAAATTATTACTGCGTCAACAAACACATAAATGAATACACAGCTAGCCACAACTCAGGAAGACATACTCAATATTAAAAAAATCCACAAAATCCATTTACGTAGTTTCCATTTAGTACCGTGGAGGTGTCATTTAATTAGCATCATTGAGAGGGATGTAATTCTTTATGGAAGTGTACAGATAAAATGACTTATATCTGGTTTCCTGGTATCTTAAGATATGTTATATATTATGTAAGATAGGAGATACATGTTGCATTGAAGGCTAATGGCCATGTAACCATCCGCTATTGTGACTGTTCTGGGTCACACAGAACCACTCAGGTCAGATTTCAGATTTATTGTCTTCTTGGCCATCACAGTTAATTCTTATGGAGATCCCACGCTAACTTGTAAGCAGCCATTAGCACCGTCTCCTCCTCTCCTGTCCTCTTCTTTTCAGCCTTGAATCTGTATGTGTTTTCCAGAGGGAGCAAATCCATGCACTGGGACTATAGACCTGCGCACTCAAGGTACAGACTCCTTCATCTGGGGGTGGAGCTGAGTGTGTACAAGTTGGCACTCTAAATAAAGGAGATTAACCCCCCTCACTGTATAAAACTCTGATATTCACATAGCGTTTAAGCCATCAAAACAAGTGGCCACACAGAAACTAGCTGCTTGGGCCAAGTCTCTGAAGTACGCTGGGAATAAGATACATAGGCAGTACCAGAGTGTCTGTGGACCCTCACGGGAGACTTCAAAAGGGACCCACCATGTTCCCTTAGCTAGGCAGAAGCCATCCTAATGTGGGAAGCAGACAGAGTGTAACCCCTAAAAGCTGCCCCACAAAGGAATACAGATCTGTCATGAAGTGTCACGGCACAGGGGTGTGTGTGTGTGTGTGTGTGTGTGTGTGTGTGTGTGTGTGTGTGTGTGTACACTTCACTCAGGTCACATTAACATCACAAGTGTTATGTGGAGACCACTGGGCTGGGACCTGCATTAGGAGGGTGAGTGACCAGACCACTGAATGTTAACTGAGCGTTATCGCCCTCTGAGCCCACCTCCTTACCTGGCTTCTGTATGACTGCATTGCAAGCGTTGGCAATCTCTTCTCTCTTTGCTTCGTCTGGGTATTGATTCTCATTGAAGTAACTGTGGGGCAACCAACAAAGACACATTTTACTTTAAATGTGCTCATTAAATGTCTTCTTTAAGACGTAACTTGGTATAGTCCAGGATGCCCACAGGAACTTTCTGGCAGATAGAAACAGTCTCTAATGTGTTCAATATGGTAACCACTACCTATGTGCTCACTGCGCACCTGAAAGAAAGCCAATGTAAGGAATAGATTTACCTTTTACTTAATTGAAATTACTGTATGTGACTAGTGGCTACATGCTGCTGTGCTTCATTAAAAGATTCCTCTAAGATAAAAGTTATTTTTTTAATGAATCCACCTGGTGATGATCACCTTAAGCAAGGCTTAGAAATGTAATATTATGGCTATTTTCACGAGTAGTTCTCAGATTTTATATAGATATTTAAAATTGCAGATGTGTGTATGACATGACCTTAGAAGAAATCAGGGGAAGCAAGAGGAATAATGGGTGGGGAAAGCTAAGAACAGGGAGGGGAGGGAGGTAAGGGTATGGTCAGGATACAAAACATACATGCAGGGGAACACTACAAGTTATTTCGGTGCGCATGACTGACTGAAGTCACGGAGCCACAGAGTCACGTTACGAAAGCACTGGTATCAACACAGCTTTTCCTTTTTTGGTCATTTTTTTAATAGCAGCAAAAACTGGAAATTAACCAATTATCCACGAACAAGGGATGACAGAACAAATTATGGGGTTTCTATATTTATACACAGCTATTTTAAAATAATTAGGAAGAAAATAAGTTAGCACTCTGTCCACTGACCTGAATGGATGTTTACAGCATATTCCTAAGTGAGAAAAATAATCTACAAAATAATGTACAAGCAAAAATGCTAAGAATAAGAAGATTCCTGTCTGCATGTGTGCCGGTTCACATGGATACAAAGGAGAATACACACCAGGCTGGGAATACTGAGCATTCACTGTTGAAGAAGGGGCTTAGTGGGATACTAACACGTTTCCTTTTGGTACATTAGGAAGTAGGTATTACCTTGGTCCAACAGTATTTAAAACATGAGGCTTGCTAATCCGTTGTTGGATTAAGCAGACTCATAAAATGTAGGTGGAAACAGAATGCTATTATTAATGCTACTTTTTCTAACATCGATGAACTTAAAGAAAAAGAGAACTTTCATGCCGTGAGCCTGGAAACTGACAATCAGGCAATGACCTTCTTGGATTCTAGTACCTACCATTTCTTCAGGACTGTCCTTCTCCTAAAAATCAGCCAGTCAGCAATGGCAGAAAGACCAGTCATGGTCCAAATGCCTCAGAGGCCCCTCTCCTCCTAAGAGCCCCCAACCCAACCCCTGCTGCCTTCTCCTCCCTCGAGGTCTCTATGGAAGGCACAACTCACTTCAGTCCAGGAAAAGCTGCTGCTGCCTCACTTCTTCATCTTCATTTCTAAAATCCAAGCCTCCCAACTGTATGCTCCCACTCTTGTCTTTGACCATATTCTACCTGCTGTTTCCCCTGGTGTAAGCATCTCCTCCTGCACGATCCTTGGAGTGCAGGACTCTTAGTGTTCACACTAAGAGTCTTCCAAGCCACCATGCTCACAGCTGCTCCGGGTTCATGCTGTCTTGGCCTCTGTGTTTACTTGAACTAACTTTTGGTTAGGTCAGGGCAGCAACCTAGCTTCACCTGGAGTAGACTTGGTAACTAGAACCAAACTTCAATGACAGCCAGGTGACCAGAAGGCATACTAACATCTGAAATGTCATCCAATTGATTCACTTACCCCAAATTCACCAAGTAGTTATGAGTTACCTAATAAGTGCTTGGCACTGCTGGTAAAGAATTGGTTTCTGGCATCAAGGAGCTCACAATGTACGTGAGAGAGAGATATAAGTAAGTGTACTTGTGGTGAAAGGCTACAGGATTTGTGGACAGTTCGGTGTGCTCATGGTCATGGGAGAAGTCTGCAAAGATGTCACAGGGAAGTCCGAGCGAGGTCTTGAGGACGGGCACTGTCAAGAGGAGATGGCAGATGAGGCCATGAGAAGTCTGGGGCACCAAGAGGAGCACAGTGTGTTAAGATCATGGGCTTCGTAGGACAATGGGATGAGATCAGTGCTGGTGCCTGTCACTTCTTCAGAGGGAGAGGGAACAAGCTTGCCATGCACTTGCTCTGTCCTCTAGGTGTGAAGGGCCATGAGAGGTTTTCATACTACAGAAATGTAATTCCACCTGTGCTTTACAGGAAGATAACACATCTTCAAACATACTGCTCTGAATTCTACCTCCATAACCTTAAATTCTGAATTCTCCAGTCAACTCCCTATGCACCTCTATCTCCTCAAACTTTATTATCTTCTCAGCAATCACTAATCTGTAATTGTTTCTCTTCCCCTAAGTAAAAAATAAATGTCTACTCCGTCTAGCCACAACCCTTACTTCTTGCCTGAATGACCGACAAGCCAAACTTGTCTGAGAGGAACCTGCACTGACCAGTTTTTCTGTTCTGTGTTCCTGCCTGCCAATCTCCCACGCTGCAGACAGCACCTTCCATTTTTGTTCCCATCCTTCTCAAAGTACCAAGTGTTCCTGAACACCACAAACAGAGTCAAGTGGTTTCCTTCCTCTGCAATCTGAACTGGTCCCTTTGTTTCTGATGAGAATTCTTTGATGCCTTGCTCCTCGGAAACCTTTCCTCTCTCAAGTCTCAAGCCCTCAAAGCTACCACTGTCACTCTTTCTGCAGATGACCTTGCCTTCGTGGTTATTGGTTTGCTAGATTTCTCAGCTTCTGAACTGCTAAACTTCTCTAGGCCATTATTCATTTCTTTTCTCATAGCCGAGGAAAACATAAATCATCCTCCTTTTCAAGGTCAACTTCTCTGTTCATCCTTGATTGTATGCCCTCTCCTTTTCATTTTCTCAAAGTCTTTCTTGCATTTCTCAGCTTTTCTCTGTACCAATGTAAAGATCTATTTCACTGACTTTATGATGCTCATTTCTTCATTATCGTGATCTTTGAAATCAGGACACATTTCCTAACCGGTAGTATCTTGAAATTAAATGGTAGTGTTTTGCTTTTTCCTTTCTCACTGGCATGTACAATAAGGTGTGCCTTACAATCAAAGCTTTGTAAGACAGGATGGAATACAGTGGCTGCTAAGGCCTAAGGTCCCATTTGAGCAACAACTCTATGGCCAGTATACCTTATAATTTTTGGCCAAATGACCTGAAAGCCAACGACTGATTGATATTCCTGACACATTACCTAGGTTACATCAGTGTCCTGTTCAAACATTTTCAAAGGTTTACTATGGATGCTCTGGATGCTCCCATCCCCACCCCACCCCTGCTGCGCTGTGGCTGCCATATAAGTAAGAAAGTAAGCCTGTGCCTGTCTCCTGCCAAAATTCCTCCAGTGCCAATCTGGTCTATCCCCCAGGACACAGTGGCCTGAGAAATGAGTTTTCTTTACCCACTGAGTCCTACAGGAGCTCATCTACTCCTTCCTCACAGCTCTTCCACCTTCCATCTCTTCCTCCACAGAAATGCACCAGAAGCCAGGGTGCAGGTCAGACTCCACCTCAGCCTCTCGCAGATGCTGGGGTCACAGGCGTGTACAGCTAAGCCCAACAGAGAACACACGCAGCTGTCAGAGGCCTTTATCTCTGCCGAGCAAGAACGATGCACAGAGCAGGAAATAAAACGCTGGTGACACGGTGGCCTCCCACAGTCTGCTTCACAGAGTTCTCGGCAGGGCTTCCGGAATGAACAGATACCACTCTTACAATAAAAGGGCCGTAGGGAAACACTGAACTAATTAAGAACTAGTTTGATGATTAATACAATTCTGTAAACAATTGATGCTCTAAAAGTGGATTGGACTCAGGTAGAAGGCACTACTGTTGTGACTGCAGTGACTAATAGAAAAAAGCCACACTGGTTTGGGAAGTTAAATTAAAATTTTCAGTTATTCACGGCATAATGTTTTCTATTAAGTCAAAGTTTCAGAGTTCACTTTTATTCCGTATTTCCAGGATTAGTAAAGAAAACCCCAGTAACTTCCCTCAAATCAAGATCTCAGGAAAAGGAGAATTTATTCATAGAGTTTAAGCCTTATTTTTAAAAAGTAATTTTTCCCTCTATTAAAAAAATGTTTTTTTTTTTTTAAATTATGTGTATGAATGTTTGCTCTACATGTATGTCTGTGCACCATACATGTGCAGTGCCTACAAAGGTCAGAAGGCGGCGGCGGGTCTCCTGGAACTAGAGCCATGTTGGGGCTGGGAACTGAGCCTGGGCCCCCTGGAAGAGCAGCCAGTGCTCTTAACTGCTGAGTCACAACTCCAGACCTTATTGTTTATGATTAAGAAATGTTCTGCTCAGCCTCACTGCTGAGCTCTGGCTAACATCTGAAGAATTTACACTAATTCTTCATAAATCATTTCAAAATCTGAACAGAAAAGGGTTTTTCTAAATTCATTTTACAAGACTTGCACTGTCCCAATACCCTGGTGACCACAGATGCCAAAAGAAAAGAAAAAAAAATCTTCAGCTAACATCCAGTAAATGGAATCTAGGAGCACATTAAACAGACTATTTATCACAACCAAGTGGAGGACATGCCAGGGAGAAGAGGTTCAACACGCACAAACCCCTGGGCATGACACAGCCTCTCACAGTATGAAGGACAAAGCTGTGTGACCATCTTATTGGATGCACAAAAGAAATCTGGTATTTCCAATACCCTTTCATGCCTGGTACTTATCATTTCTTCAACAGGAGATGAGGCAAGCCTGGGATGATGGATCGATCAGGTCTTACCCATCACTTCTTCAATGGGGATCTTAGGTCTTAGCTAGTAACCACTGTATTCCATCCAGGCCAACAAAGCCTTGGTTGTAAGCAGAAGAATGAACTGGACACCACTCTTACCAGTTAAAAGAACATTCAAATCAAAATTAAATATAAGACTTGAAGCCAAAAGACCACTAGAAGGAAAATTATAAAGTGCTTTGGGGACATTAGCATG